GTGTGAAAAAGTATTTAACATTCTTTTTTCATTCGGTTTTTCCAATTACGATTCTCTTTTTAAAGCTGGTCGTTTGTGTTCATTTTGTTTAGTTCTTTTTTTCATAACAGATTTAATGTTTAGAATAGATCTTAGAAAAAAAATCGCAGTGTGAGATAGGCAAGAGGACATGTAGCAACATCAGCACGGCAAAGGGCACTCCTTTAAAGGCAAGGAAGGGCAAAAATATTTTAAGTCAAATGATAGCGATTGTTGTACGAGTCGTACGATTTTATGAAACAAGCACGGGCAACGCCGGGCCATTCTGCTAGTTCCTAATATACGCATTGTCTACACGATAGAATTATACACTTGACATATTTTACTCCTGGTCAACCAATGCATGGTAAGTCAGTTATAGGGATAGTAAATGAGGTTTTGTAACTGTGTACAGAGAAAAAGGTGAATTTTAGGAGGATAGATAAGTTTACCATCGAAGTGGTTAAGGTTCTCATGACTTGGAGAGCATCCTCTTGGGAGTCAGTTAATATTGTAACAGTTCTGGATCAGATGATATCTGATTGAAACTTCCTACATACCAATGGAATTCCAAAGAATAAGTATGAATGTGTGAATGTGTGGCCTGGCGAGTCATATCTATGAAAGACTGTAGCCTTTTTTGTGTCTGTGTGGGAAACGAACTTACTGCAGCCACATCAGGATTGTTTGTCTAAGGTAAAACATGACGAACCAGTCTATTTTTTTTATTTTTTTATTTTTTAGACTGTTTTAAATTCGGAGATGAACTTCTAGAAATGATTGCAACGTAGGGTTATTGAACAGATTCCCTGTTATTTAATCCATATATGTTGGAGGTAGAATAGAAGAATTCATTTATTTCTCAAAGGATTTTTTGCGAAAGTGATCCTAACAGACTCAGGTTTTGATCGCATTTTTAAAGCCGATATCCGCTACACCATCTACATCGATTCATAGTGCTGTAAATGATAGCACTCTGTGAGAAACATAATCACTGCCTTGGTATTGGTCAAAGAAATTACTTTGTTTAAACATTGTTTCAGGTTTTGCCTTATTCAGTAATTTCCTTCGGCCTAATGGCACTTTTTGTCCAAAGCGTCCCAGATAATCGTTTTCTAGCAGGATTTGGCCGAAGGGGTTTTTTTTCTTTTATTTATTTTTATTTTTTTAATGTATGCTGTTTTGTCTTTACTAAAACGATACGTCCCTCCACATCTAAACGTCTTTTTACAGCGTGTTCGGGGCGGTTTTGTTTTGATTTTGTTTTTCATAGATAGCATTTCGCCATAACATACATTCGAATTTAGTTCTAATTTTACTAGAATGATTACCTGCCACGACTTGAATCAATAAACCCTCCTATTTAACTCGTAACTCAAGGCAGAAGAGATGGAATCTTATTCCAAAAGGTTATCTATGCAACCCTAAAAGCAACGAACTCTATGGGAAGTCGAAAGCTGTTCGCTGAATCCTCGTTCGGAGTCGCTAAAAAAACATTAAACCACATATCCGTTCAGGTTTAAAAAAATCTGAGAAAAGACGTACACTTTTCCATCGGCCTTTCCTGCGTACTACAGGGACAGATTCCTTATTCATACAGAAAATTTAAAAAATAAAATGTCATACATTAAGACCATCCTATTCATGATAGATTTCCATTAGCTAGGATAGAAGGTACCTCGACGTAGTGTAATGTTTAACAAGCTTGTCTCGCTAGGACCATTACTACTGAGCAGTGCGTTCGATTGTCACAGGGTGACTCATACTTTCGGGCTTATACCACGTCTAAGTCACACATAGAAAAATCACTATATAGGTCATATATCGAGAAGACAAGGCTGGTTTTAATGAGAGCACAGTCAGTTAGCGCGACAGAATAGGCAAGAGTACAAAAGCCCCTAAATGACTTAAAATATATCGCCAATGTCATCGACTGTCGATAGTGGATAAGACCACCAGCATAGAAGCAACCAGGAAATTGAGACGATATATCATAAATGGTTCAAGAGCTCTTAACCTTTTGTAACCCGATTTTATCAGATCATAAGTTTAATATACACAGTAAAAATTTGCATATATGTTTACAGGCTTTCTCGGTGAAGGCTTATTGATTTTCGAGGCACGTATCTTTGATTATTATGACTGAATATTTTTGTGCAAGATGCGATATTAAATCGCCCAAACACGATTGCTATATAAAATAAACTAACCATATATAGAACTCCGACTATTTAATTTTGTTTATACGTTATTTTTATTGATACAAATATTTTAAGTAAATGGTTTGTTTATTATGAAGAGTATTACCATTTACCTGCCTTGGGTGTCCAAGAAATGTTATAGGAAATGATCTTCGACAGGAATCGAACATGTATTCTACACGGAACCATCACAAACTGACGTGCTATAAAATTTAGCTACAGAGTAAGTTAAAGCAGAAAAATATATTAAAATAATTGTCTGATTTAGTCCATTCCATACTATCATTTGCTTGCGTTAAAATATGCTTTGAGCTGATATGATCGTTCGAGAGAAATCATGAAATTTATAGTTTAAAAAAAGTAATTCGACCTTGCTAACCGGGAGTTTCTTCTGAATGTGATTTTTTAATTTTTATATAGTTTTAGATTATCAATTGCTTTTTTGTCTAGTTAAACTGAAAATAGCATCTATAGAGCGGACATGCATTTTGGGTTTAGTAACTTTTTTAAATGCATTGTTTTCTACATGACATATGTCGTATCCAGAAAAAAACGTACGAAGTGGATGGAGAATTATATATATATATATATATATATATATATATATATATATATACATTCCTCGAGTTTCTTATATTTTTAAACTTAATATCGATTAAATTTAAAATTAAGTTTTAATTTTAAATTTTATAGAATAATTTAGTATTAGTTAGAATGAATTCTATTTTAGTCTAAGCCTAACATTAAAGAATTAAATGATTATAACAAGTCCGTTGTCAAGTTTTTTTTAATTCTCACATATTTGTATTTTGATTGGTCATTCCCGCTTATGTAACAGCGTTTCCCGTAGCGGGGGATATTTGATTGATTTGGACCTTTTAAATTCCTTTATTCTACATTCAACACCATTACTTGATAAAACACCAGAAGTATTGAAACAAAATGGCTATTTTTGTAGTGATTTTATAACACGCACACACGTGTGTGTGTGTATATATATATATATATATATATATATATATATATATATATATATATATATATATATATATATATATATTGTTTCCTTCTCCTAGACCAGTTATCACCCCAAGCCTATAGAACCCAGTCTGTCCTGCTATTTAACCCATAGCTTGAGGGAGAAGTGGATTCACAACTTTCCCAAGGGTATTAGCACGTAAGTGAATGCAATGGATTCAACCTGGATTCGAACTCTGAATTCAAAACCTGCGGAGTAGTGCACCAGGTCTCTGTATTGGGCCCTTCAAAAAGTGTGAATGGTCCAGCACGAAGCCTTCACCACTATAATCGAATCTCATGTGCCGGTGTCGGGATGTCAGTTTCCTGGAAACTGATCTGCTTGACCCTCATACGTCGAACCCTACGGGAGAATCGATTTTTTTTTTTTTTTTTTTGAAAACTATAATATAAATATTCCGCTGTTTTTTGTTGAATGCATTTTGGCTTTTCATTTTTCTAGGTTTCGATGACTAATTTTTGTAAGTTACCCTATGTTCGTCTTTTACAATTCTATGTAATATATCCAAATATAAATGCTCTAAAATTTCACCGATAAACAAATGTATTGACAGAAGGCTACGGTGAATGCCATGGGCAGAACATGCTAGCAAACAAGAAGTTATAGAGAAAATGGAACATAAAGGACACTTACATTTAACATCAGGCAGTCTCGGCTGAAATTTCTAGAGCAGGAAAGATGTCTAGGAAAATTTGATACTCATAGGGAGGACTGGAGGCAAGAGGGAGATGGAAAACAATGTATAACCTACTAAACGAGCCTTAGTAAATTGAATAGTAGTAGAGATTAGCAGTTATTTCTTAAGAGCTACAAAGGACAGAAAATTGTGGGGATCCATGTTCCCGAAACGAAACGGCACATAAGTAAATTCAACTTTTACTTTTTCTGTTTAGATCGATCGGAAATGTATCAAATTTCCTTGAAGTGGCGTCGATTTCTATCAACAACTCTTCATAAAACAAATTTTCTTTATCGGAAAAAAGATTTTTCTTCCCTAAAATGGAAATTATACAATTTATTTATAAAAGGGAAATCTAATATTTATCAGATTTCAGAACTGCACATAAATGTAATAAAATACTTTAAAACATATTACAGAATTATAAATTGCCGAGGAATTTATATCGTCTCGAGGCAGAAAAATGTTTATGGAACCTTTGTTTCTGTGTTTTATTTTTCATCAACACAGAAGATGATAAAATATCAAATTATACTTCGCAAATCAAAAGCACCACTTTATAATATATACATTAGTGTGTTGCCACATCTTAAAATATATTTTAGTTTCTTATTTAAAGAAAAAGGGAAAACTAAACTGAAAAATAAAAGCAAATACTATCTGCAGGTTTTTACACCCTAAAAGGGTAAATCTGAATTCTTCTGTCCACAATACACTGCTAAATTATGAATATTTTGTTTGTGTAACATTGTTTTCATTATCAATCATTCAGTTATGTATATGTGACAGCGAAAAATAAACTCGAAAATATGTTAGTGTCAGTATGAATCCTGAGGTATTCACTCTTGCCAACAGCTCGTTATTTTAATGCAGGTTTGCGGTAAATAAATCGAACGGCCGACTTGCCTCAAACCATTCTCAGCAAAACGGAATTAATTAGATGGGAAGAAATGAAACGGAAGTAACCGGTTTTCTATTCCCTTTCACAGAAGACGAATAGAGAATTGTACATTCATTATAACGTAATCTTTAGATTTGCTTCATCTCTCTCTCTTTATCTGTCATGTTTACCTCTCTCTCTTTATCTGTCATGTTTACCTCTCTCTCTTTATCTGTCATGTTTACCTCTCTCTCTTTATCTGTCATGTTTACCTCTCTCTCTATCTGTCATGTTTACCTCTCTCTCTCTTTATCTGTCATGTTTTACCTCTCTCTCTTTATCTGTCATATTTTTTTACTCTCTCTCTCTTTATCTGTCATGTTTACCTCTCTCTCTCTTTTATCTGTCATGTTTACCTCTCTCTCTTTATCTGTCATGTTTACCTCTCTCTCTTTATCTGTCATGTTTACCTCTCTCTCTCTTTATCTGTCATGTTTACCTCTCTCTCTCTTTATCTGTCATGTTTACCTCTCTCTCTCTTTATCTGTCATGTTTACCTCTCTCTCTTTATCTGTCATGTTTACCTCTCTCTCTTTATCTGTCGTGTTTACCTCTCTCTCTCTTTATCTGTCGTGTTTACCTCTCTCTCTCTTTATCTGTCATGTTTACCTCTCTCTCTCTTTATCTGTCATGTTTACCTCTCTCTCTCTCTTTATCTGTCATGTTTACCTCCTCTCTCTCTCTTTATCTGTCATGTTTACCTCTCTCTCTCTCTTTATCTGTCATGTTTACCTCTCTCTCTCTCTTTATCTGTCATGTTTACCTCTCTCTCTCTCTTTATCTACCATGTTTACCTCTCTCTCTCTCTTTATCTACCATGTTTACCTCTCTCTCTCTCTCTTTATCTACCATGTTTACCTCTCTCTCTCTCTCTTTATCTACCATGTTTACCTCTCTCTCTCTCTTTATCTACCATGTTTACCTCTCTCTCTCTCTCTTTGTCTACCATGTTTACCTCTCTCTCTCTTTGTCTACCGTGTTTACCTCTCTCTTTATCTACCGTGTTTACCTCTCTCTTTATCTACCGTGTTTACCTCTCTCTTTATCTACCGTGTTTACCTCTCTTTATCTGTCGTGTTTACCTCTCTCTCTCTCTTTATCTGTCGTGTTTACCTCTCTCTCTCTCTCTCTCTCTCTGTGTTTATCTGTCCGTTTACCCTCTGTGTTTATCTGTCACGTTTACCTCTCTGTGTTTGTCTGTCACGTTTACCTCTCTGTGTTTGTCTGTCACGTTTACCTCTCTGTGTTTGTCTGTCACGTTTACCTCTCTGTGTTTGTCTGTCACGTTTACCTCTCTGTGTTTATCTGTCACGTTTACCTGTCTCTCTCTCTCTCTGTTTACCCCTTTGAATTGTCATTTTATATTAATTTTGCGCATGCGCGTTGCTTTGATTTTGTCGACTGCACAGCTTAGATTTAGTTGGGCACCGTTTGTGAGAAAAAAAATAGTCACGTAATTCACTTCGTCAGAAACTTGGAAACGGCATACTATAAATGGCATTCGGGCCGGAAGCTCAATATGAAGTTTTTAGTCTGTCAATCTGAGGATTGCATTTATATATATATATATATATATATATATATATATATATATATATATATATATATATATATATATAAAATCAAAATATAATAAATATGCTTAAACACTAATATTCCGTGGTTATATTCTTATATATATTCTTACTTTGTCCTGGGCAGTGAGTTCTACCTGGGTTCTATCCTCTTGGGAATAAATGTTATCACTGTCTGCTCATTAAATGTATGCCTTCATAGTATTTTCTACCGTCAGTATTTATCTAGTCTTGGTTATCCCAACTTATTTCTAAATAACATCACCTCTCTATGATATATGTAAACACACAGTTATTGTTCTCCTTCCTGTTGTCGTCGTTCTTTTTGTTTTTCTTTACAATGATACCTGTTCCCAACTGCCAATCCCTTCTAGTTGTAATCTCTTTCCCATATCATTCCAAAGCCGCCTTCTATCAATTTACTCCAGTTCTTTAAATTACTCGATTTTTCCCTTAACAACTGCTTCTTTCTGTTCTCGTTGTCCTGCTCAATCTCTGGTATTCTCAGCATCTTTCTGTAGCATCAGATATGTTTCAAGCTTCCTCCACCTCATCTGAGCTGAATTCTTCCTACAATCACCCACAGAAAGTATGATATATATGCTGGTGTACATACACATTCGTTTCTAAGTAATTTGTTTATTCCAACATTTTTTATATGTTCGTAGTACGACCTTTATCTTTGCTTAGATGACGTTGCTGGATTTTAGGACATTGAACCTTCGTCATTTTTAACGTTGATGTTACTGTTTTTATTTGCTCCCACATATCTTCATCATAATGGTAAGACATTAATGGCGATGGTCTCTGCCTCTTGATAATAATGTCTTATGTGGTAGAAATTTCTGACCTCTATTTGTATCTACAATTATTTACACAGCTCGTGATGAGGTAAGTATTGATCGTTGATGTGTTTCTGAACATTTACCTAGTTTGCGAATAGGTAAATATTGGTCATTTATGTTTGGTCAGACAATAATTATTTCGAAGGAAAAGGGAAATATTGACCGTTTATATTAGTCTATCAAAATATAATTGGTTTGTATGTTCGTTTATATTTGAGTCTATAAGCATTTACGTAATTTGGGGATAGGTAAAAGCCGTGTACGTTTGACACTATTAGGCAAAATAATGAGAAAGTGGAGCATTGTCAGTATGTTTCGTCCTTTAGGACTTCATCAGACTAAATTAATGTCTCTTAAGTAATTATAATAGTGAGGAGGATACGAGAACGCATATCTAATTATGCATAAAATGGAAACGCCAACGATGTTGGTATCGTTGCAATTTTCAATTAAATTTATTTTTGTACGAGTCTGGCGATATGGTTTAGCCAATTTCATTGAGTTTCTTTATGCTTTTGTTTCTAATTTTGTTATTAATATCCAACATTATAGTCATAGAAAGTCGGCCATGAAAGGCGAAATGTTTTAAAATTCTGGGCGCAAAATTTCTGTTTTACCGATCAAAGCACTTTCTATATATTCAGTAAGTTACCTTCTTTAATTAAAGCATGCCTGATTCTATCCTCCAGGAAAGTCACGCACTCCGCCTTCTCGCGTCCACTTTCTCAGCTGATATGAAGAGGAAAAACTATACGGTGTCGAATGCTAGGTTAGCTACTAAGAAAGTCGGTTCATTATGTCAGGCGAGAGCATTTTTCTCTCCGGAAACGCTTATATATTGTCGGAAATAATGGAGTGTAGCGGCGATGACGGCCGGTAAGTCTAAAGGCGGGAACGCCTCATTCTGACTCGCTTTAGTAGCCGTCCATTTGGAATTATTTCTTTGCTATTGTACCTAGAATTTTTTTTTTAAATTTAAGCGCAACTCTCCACTGGCGTAAAGTTGGCTAGATGTAGCTGTTAAGCTCATAACGGGGCTTAACTGACCATCTTGAGGGTGAAAATATTTCTTTCATAGTTTTCCAGACAGTCCCATTTAAATCTAGTCTCGTCCACCCAATCGGATAGGATCTACTCCAACGACAAACTGGTCGACAAAGCGAAATATATTCCTTGTTTCTTGCCTTGACCGACCGCCACACAACAATTTGAATTTCATCTATTCTTCCCTCGGCAGTTTCTTCGTGAGTATAAGTTGTAAGAAATATCATAAATTCACTAAGACACAACGGGTTACCGAGAAAATGTGAAAATGTGACATTCTGGAAAAATAAAACAGCGGAATTCTTGGAGGCAAAGAACGTGGATTGGTGATATTATATATGCAACAATCTACCCACACAAGTAAGGCGGTAATGCCTGTAAAACTCAAGGGGGGAGTATGGATGAATTAGGAACAGAAACATTAAAGATGAGCAGAATGAGAAAAGAGTAATTTAGTGGACAGTAGATAGTGATTGACATTGCATTTAAATTTTTGCTGATTAACATTGACTGAAAAGCATGGAGCCGGAAGTGAGAAACTGTTAGCATAAAATTTGCAGTTACATCTAGCCAGCTCAACTATAAGTTTTAACTGCGGTTAAATAAAAAAAAACTTCATTCAATATATATAAGTGGACGGTGTGTGTGATTAATGCAAATATTAAATCTCTCTCTCTCTCTCTCTCTCTCTCTCTCTCTCTCTCTCTCTCTCTCTCTCTCTCTCTCTCTCTCTCTCTCTCTCTCTCTCTCTCTCTCTCTCTCTCTCTCTCTCTCTCTCTCTCTCTCTCTCTCTCTCTCTCTCTCTCTCTCTCTCTCTCTCTCTCTCTCTCTCTCTCTCTCTCTCTCTCTCTCTCTCTCTCTCTCTCTCTCTCTCTCTTATATTTATATATATATATATATATTTATTAATGTCTATTTCCGCAGCAGCCTTTCTTTTAAACATTTTTCACTAAATATGTCGGACAAAGATTAGATAATTTTTTTTTTTTAGTTTTTCCAGCTTCCTTACATTTTTTCCGTTCTGTAACCGTATTGGAGGACAGTCAAAATACGAGGAAAATATAACAACACTAAATCAACACCCCCTTCCCTTTAAAATGGTTAAATAAATTGATAAAGCATATGCAAATATATTAGTGGGCGGTGAGGTCAACACCAGGTGGCGATATTGTTTCAACGCAAAACCTCATTGTTTGAAGATTATTTTCAAACATGAGAATAACAGTCGTGTGTGTATGTATATATATATATAGTTTAGGAGGATTATAAATAATCATAATTAAGCAATTCATTGCGTCTCGAAATTTTGAAGATGTAATCGACTGAAAAGTAAGCAGCTGGAAACTATTTCGAGAAGTGCGAAACTATAATCTTACGTCATTTACCAATTTGAAAAGTAAAATGATTCCTCACTACCTGAGAATCTAGTATTTCCATTAAATACATGATATCGACTTGACTAAAGGGGAAGGTTCATCAGTTCAATTGCCATGGGCTTTTTTTATGGAAAAGGTACACGTAAGTTACTTATCTGCAGTTGGAAAGGTGATTTGAAGCAGTCGAGACCAGTATTATTGCGGATTTCTTAGCAGAATCTCAAGATATGAAAGAAGTGGCTGACCCGATGTAGCAACACTATGCAATGCACGGACGAACTTTT